ACAAGTCATAAAAGGGCCAAGTTTGAAGACCCCTGACATAGGATCTCCAGCAAGTTCAGAAGCTTGACAGTTCTGTCTGCTATTGTGATAGTTGTGAAGCAATGCTATCCATGAGAAAGCCTCTAGCTTTGACTTATTTGCAGAGGCCAAGGGCATTAAATGTCCTCTTCATTTTTTTTAAAAAAAGTTTGTTGCCCTGACTTGCATTGGGGCGCAGGACTGGCATTTATACTAAAATGATTGATTTCTCTCCAGTAGAACTTGGAGGCAGGGATAAGACAACTTTTCTGATGCCTCACATAGCAAAATTGGATTATTGCAATGGGACTGCCCTTGAAGACATCTGGAAATTATAAATGGCCCAGAATGTGGTGACTTGGGCAGTTTTAGATGCTCCAGGTTTGCCCGCATGATGCCCACAGGTTGCACTGGCTTCCAGTTTCCTTCCAGGCATACTTCAGGTTCCTTCCCTTAAATGTTGCCATCTAGCAGGACTTAGCAAGTGTGTTTTCTCTGTAGCTGACTCTGCCATGTGGACACTTCCCCCAGAAACCTTGCAGTCCCCATTACCTTCTGGAAATCCGTGAAGAGCTGATTTTCCCCCCAAGCACTGAGGGTAGGATGAGGTTAAGAGACATGTGTAGACCTATGGGAAAGTCCTGCCCCAGGGTGCCATGAGGTTTTTTTAAAAAATAAGTTTTATCAAGTTTTTACTGATGTTTATTTCTCGTTTCGGTTCTTTTTGTGCGCTACCCAGGGTGGTGATTACAATGTGTGGCCATATAAATTTTTAAAATAAATTGCTCCTTAGCACGGGAGAACCTTGTGGAATTTCAAGAGATGGGTCATAGAAAGTAAAGAGAGAGACTGAACTGGAATGAATAGTCTTGCCATATTGGGCAACCTTATTGTACCAATATGTGTTAAGCTGCATCTTTTTTTCTGTGTACCGATTCTGACTTCCTGTGTGGCTATGCCCCTCCATTACCTTGGTTACCAAAATGTCATACTGTGAAGTAAGCTTCTTTAGCAGCAGCCTGAATTGGCAGCTGAAGATTGAAGAAGTACATACCCAACACAGCTTGAGAGGCAGGTTCACAATTTTGACAGTCTTGGTACTTTTCTGGCAGTGTGTTTGCCTCTCCAACGAAGAAACATTCCCAGCTCACAGAAGTTTGATAAGGGCCTGAACTACATCCTAAACAATACAAGCCTTTTTTTAAAAAAGAGAGAGAGAGAGAACGGAATGAACTCTATATAGTTCTGCAGATTGAAATGTGGTATGCCCATTATCAGTGTTTGCTTTTAAAATAGACAGAAGAAATATTACCAGTGGAATTTTCCTGCTAAAAAAAGCCTGTTGCTTTTCAGAAGAGAAGACATATTAACAAACCTGGCTGAGAGGTGCCTCCTTGTGGCAACAAATATGCAGGAATGATCTTTTAATTTTAGTGAGAACGTTGACGACAATGTAATCAAAAGAGAAATTGGAGGAAGACCTATTTGTGTCAACTTTCTTCTTCCTCCAAGATATTCCATGAATCTCTCAAGATTTTTTCTCTCAAAATTTCTGTTTGCTATAAGCAGGAAAGTCTGCATTTCTGCTTTCAGCAGAATTCCCCTGTCAACAGCCCAGCATAAATTCTGGTAAACAGTGAATGCTGAGGGGCCTCCTGAGGTCATCACACCAAGAAAATAGACCTGCTTTGAGGGCAATATATAGGCCAATGATGGGCTATACTTCTCCCCATAGACTTCAGAACCTCTGAAGTACTCCAGACAGTGTTCCCATAGCCTCTAAATTAAATGCAAATGTATTAAAACATTTAAAATATCTGAAATCTGAGGGGTGAACTTATGAGAGGTTAGCTTGTTGTGGGTGTTTATTTATGGCACCTGAACCAAAACATGAGATTATATGATAGCTGTCAGAGCTGAAAGAGTTACCAATTGCTGTTTTAGACATAAATATTCAAGAAGCTGATCCGAAAATAGATTTTGTTCTTAGAGCTAGTAAAGTGTTTCTCCAATAGATATGCCTGTATGCTTATCACTGGTGGGACTCACTGGACATTCTGAGAGTTGAAGTCCACAAGTCATAAAAGAGCCAAGGTTCCCCACCCCTGGCTTAGGGAAAGCTTTTGAAATCAATCATAGTAAAACCAAAATTCAGATTTTTGCAAAGAATGCAATATGCCTGGAGGAGAGGTCAGAATATTAAATAAGTTAAAATATTTGGGCATGATTTTCCATGCAGTGTACTTCAAAACCAAGGTATACAAAATGCTCCCCCCCCCCAAAAAAAGTGGCTGCAATCCAATCTTTGTTTTAGTAGAGCAGCATAGTATATACAGTACCAGCAGCACTGAAGCTATTTTCAACAAAACCTTGTATATAGCTATTCTTCAGTGCCCAGCTAGGACCCTATTCCTCTTTGCCCCTCTCGAAAAGGTCCAGTCTAAATTTCTAAGGGTTTGCAGTTAATGAAATTCTAAATAGGGAGGCAGGGCTGTTAAAAACCGAAACTGGTGCACGGACTGCGTTATAACATATTGGCAAAACCACTGTTCTTCTCCACAGGCCTGAGCACTTTTCCTTATCGAGGATAATTATAAATCAATATGGATTAGAACAATTGTATTAAAATTCCAATATCTCGGCCTTCCAAGGAAGAATTCCTAATGGTGGGCTACGAGCCATGGACTTGGTGCATTTAAACAATGTATAAAAGATTCAGAAATGTTTTCTTGAACAGAGAGCCCCCCTCCCCTGCAAACCAGTGAGATATTTATATCATATAACTGTCTCTAAATTTTGGAGGGCATTAACTTTAGCACATTATAACGTTCTGCCCACAGCAGGTCTGGAGGGCTGGTATAAAAAAGTTCCATATGAGCGGAGAGTTTGCCCCGAAACCAGGGGCTATTGAAACTGCAACTCCTATCCCATTTATTGTCCCTTTTATAGGGACTCACAAACATCCTACCTGATTAAATATCCTGGAAATTTTCGTTCCTCTGTCTGTAAAATTAGGCAGACCTTGGTAACCCACTGAGAATTTCACCATCACTTGTAATACATTACTATGCCTTGTACTGTTTGGTTCTGTTCAGTTTTGCTTTATTTTAATGTTTAATTTTTTTGTGCTGTATCAAAAAATGTTTATTATTGTGACCATAGTAAAAATTAAAGGGCTTGATGACCAAAACAAGGAATGTTTTCACAATCTTCCTGAATGCAAGAAAGTAGAGTACCATCTGAATGTCCAAGATTCAGTAAATATTCCCATAATATATGGGCATTCGTTGGGAAGGCGTGCTTTCTTGTCCAAGTCCCTAAACCTCACCTGAAGGGATTCTCAGGTCTTCCAAAATGGATGAATGAAGTTAAGATGGTGGCTGATGTAACCCCATGCTGTACCACACAGAACTGTATTAGCAATATTTTGAATTGGGCCTGGAAGCCAATAGGAGTATCACTGGAGCCTTTGGATCATTTCCAAAGGCTTTCCCACATACATCACATTGCAATAGTCCAGCCACATCGCAATCAAGGAATCAGGTTTTCATAAAGTATCCTGGTTGAGGTAGGGCACAACTGGTATATATCCCTCTGGTCATGAATTCTGCCTCCTGTTTAACTAGAGACTGTAAATCTAAAAAGAGCCCCTTGTTGAAGTCCACCCATTCAGGTAGAGCGTGGTCTCATCCAGAAATATTGTTACTGGAGTTCTTCAACATTATTGATGAAAAACTATTCGATCTTGGAAGGGCTTCGTTTGAGCTTGTTTTGCCTCATCCAAATGCTGACTGTCTCCAGAGATATGCATATTTTATAGGCATTCTGTTATTAAATTTAATATTTATAGTAAGTTTTTAAAATGTAAAGATGCCATGCTGGCTCAGGAATTCTGGGAGTTGAAGTCCACAAGTCATAAAAGAGCCAAGGTTCCCCACCCCTGCTCTAAGCAATACCTGGTTTAATGTTTGTGACAGAAATATTGTGTCATCTGCATGTAACACGGTAGCAATATGCCTGTTTGCTAATTTTGGTGGGTGGGTGCTGTTTGAATTGATTCATTTGGCCATGAGTGAATTTATATACAAATTAAACAGAGAAGGGACTAAGATACATCTCTGCCTGAGTCCTCTGTGAGTTGGAATCTCATTGGTATAGCAACCTTGCATGCCACAACAAATTTTGAATCTTATAGAGCTTATGCATGAACAAAAGTAATCATCTTTCAATGGGGGTGTGCAGACGCTTTGTCCAGAGCCTTGCTCTGGGAAACAAACGTTTAATTTGCTTCTATCTGATCATTTTATTATTTGTATCATCTTTGGCTTGTTTACTCTATACTGTATACACTATACTGTATACCAGACATGTCAAACTTGCGACGTCACGTGACGTCGCGCAAGATATGTGGATGGTTTTGCCATTGCCGGCAATGAGGTGGGCACGACTTCCGCATGACACGTCCAGCCCGCGGGCCGGCAGTTTGACACCCCTGCTGTATACTGTATATACACCACAATGTCATAATATTAGAGAGGTAACAGATATAAAAAATGATTTCAGCATTTCTGCATTTAAAATTTATAATTGCCTTAGAAGAAATTCAGTTTAGCCTTTGAGAATTCCATGTTGCTCATAAATTTGTGAACGCATGTCTTTTCACAGAGGCCTATACGGGACTGTCATTTGAAATAGCAGCTAAAACAAATATTTACCAGATATACTTCATTTCCTATCACCTGTTCAGGTTTGATCCTTTGCTCCCTTTTATGTCGCACTGTACCAAATGAAAATTACATCCAATTATAAGCAAGACCTTCCTCAACTGCAACAATTCATAAACTTTATTCGGTTAGCACCTCAGCCTTTTAAAGATTAATACTTTTTTCTCATTTGCTGGTGATTAAAGTTTGCTGGGTGATTTTGTGCTTCATTCTAAATCTTTGTAATAGGCATGCAGAAAGAAGGACATTTACAACCAGTTGGCTTATTTACATTTTATTTGTCATGTTTTAATGGAATCAGTTTAAATAAAGAAACAAAAATAATTAACATGATGAATATAGAAAGCATGAGAGCAATTAGTACAGGTTTTTTTTTTCATATACCAAGGAGCATAGAAAAAGCTGAATGCTGTAATGCTGAATTTGTCCAAGAATGGAACACACATTGGGATAATCCGTTTCCTTGTTGGTTCCTTGTCCACTCTGAGTGGCCAGGGTATACATATTCATTATAAGGCTTCTCAAAATGCTGATATTAGCTTTGAATAAATGATAAATGGGCCTTTTATGTGAAGAACCACTCCATTTCTGCAACGGGACCTCTAATAATTGTACCACAGTAGTGATAGATGTGCTATTTACAAGCAAGTGAATCTAAAAAGGTGATCTGCCTAGAAAAATAATATACCTATTAGAATGCAGCCCCCCCCTAATTATTACTCTAATTGCAATTGGCTTTTTGATCTTCAGCTAGATGTATGTGCTTGTTTGAGTGTTCTCAGCAGCTCTTATTTCATATACAGGCAGTCCTCGACTTATGATACAACTGAGTCCAACATATCTGTTGCGAAGTGAGACATTTGTTCGGTTATAAAATGGGGCAAAATTCACTTTTCTTGCCTCAGTTGTTACATGAATCATTATAGTTGTTAAGTTAGTAACATGGTTGTTAAGTGAATCTGGCTTCCCCATTAACTTTGCTCGTCAGGAGATCACAAAAAGGAATCACTTGACCCCGGGACACTGCAATGGTCATAAATACGAGTCAGTTGCCAAGCATCTGAATTTTGATCATGACCATGGGGATGTTGCAACGGTCATTAAGTGTGAAAAACAGTCATGAGTCACTTTTTTCAGTGCAGTTGTAACTTTGAACGGTCACTAAATGAACTGTTGTAAGTTGAGGACTATCTGTATAAGAAATGTCTCCACGCTTGGGTTTTTTTCACCGTAGACTACAGATCAACTATGCAATCAATTTGTTGATTACTGCAATTCTAAAAACTTAGCAATATAAATAGGTATTTTACTATGCATATTTAAATCCAGGGGTTTACATTCTGAAGTGTTCATCGACAGCTAAAATGTTTTAGCTATTTTTTTTTAACGTTCAGCTGAAACTTGAGGCTAAGAGCCGTTTCAGAAATGGCAAAACTCAAACCATAAAACAGTGTCAGCCTGTGTGTTTCATATACAAAATGGTGCCATTGCTGCTTGTCATAATCAATTCCTAGATTCAATGCTATTTCCCAGGTAGAGAGAGCCTGCAAATAAACCGGATAATGGCCACTGTCTAGCACACGCACAGATTTGCCACTAAACATCACTGAAATCTGAATAAGATTGCATAGGACTGCATTGCATCAATCATAAAATCACATGAGATAAAGCTGTGTCTAATATTCACAGATATAAGTTTATTTCTTGGAACATCCATTTTTTTTAAATAAAATCCTTTCAATTACATTGCTAAAATTCTGTTTTCTCAAACTATACAAATATACGTATTTTAGTTTGCATTAACGTCTTGCATTCCATGATTAGCTGAAAGAATACATTGAAATGGACCAAACCACAGCTTCACCACTAACATAGTAAGTAACTTTAACTTTGGGGCAAATGACTGGCCCAGTTCTACTTAATTAGGTAAAACTGACACATAAGTGCTCAAGCAGTAACCTAGTACATTTTTAATTTATTTTATCAAATGCTGAAACCGTCCATCCTCCCTCCCTCCCCAAATTCTAAGATGGGAATGGCACATGTAAATGCAAGAGTGCTTTTACTACTATCTGATCTGTATTTTAATCTCCTATCCAAGATGGTAGAATGACTGTACCATGTGAAGCCCCACGATACAAATAAATAGGGGAAAGAGTTCGATTATATAGTTGCGGCCACCATTTTTACTTTTCTGTCCTGCTCTGGAGATATCCCAGACGTCACACGTTCATCAATTTGGCATTAAGAAAAACAAAGGCCTTCATCAATGTCCTCAGAGCCTTCTCCTTTAATGAGCTGATCAAAGTTCACTAGTAGGACATATCTGTGAATCAATTTTCAATTTTTTTAAAAAATGGCCATACATCACCCAATGACAGAAGATTATGTAGACAGAAACTTGTTATATGATTACTTGTTATATGATTCGGAAAAGACTTGGAACTGTATCAAGCATACATATAATGTGCAAATGTTGTTCAAACAGTGCTACGTTCTGGGAAGCAGCATTATTCGTACCAAAGTTGTACCAGCAGCATCACTTGTGGGACAGTGTTAGCTATAATTCATAATGTCAGGAAGAAGTGACTTCCTAGTTTCCCTTTCGAAAAACACACACACACACAAAAAGCTTCCCCAACATATTCTACTTGCTTTACTGAATGAAAGAAAACCTTCACACTTAAACAAGTCATCCTAACTCTACATGGCATAGGACTGAGATATTTGAGGGAACCACCTCTCCCTAGTTACAACTATCTCTCCCATCGGATTAGAATCCCAACATTCACATTTGCAAACTTTATTCCAGGAGGAGTAAAGATTGATTATTTGTTTTGATAAACAGAAATGGTACCTAAAACTATTTTTGAGGTTCATGAAAAAAAAAAACTGACATTATTAAGCCTGTCATGTCAGGATGTAAATCCTGTAAGGCAAATATTGTGTCTGTGGTAAGTGAGAAAACCTGAGTCCGATTACTCTGAATACAATTGGCATTATTTCAAGTACTTGCTTCTACCATGTACAGCTAGAAGTGGCTTTTTTTTTAACAAACAAACAAACAAACAGATGTTTATTAGTAAGATCTTGTATTCAAGGATTGAGCATTGCATGTTAATTTTTAAGGGCAAAAGCCTACTTGAGAAATATCACCAGCAATCCTAAACCCTGTTTGATATACGCTGCAAAGAACAGCAGCAGCGACAAAAAGACGAACACTAAGGCAACCACTGCATACAACTGAATGGTAGGATGTCATGGGGAGGAAGGGGGGAAGCTTCAAATCCACTTGTGAGCTTGTCAATATTGTACAGATCTTTAAAAGCCATTTACTTATTCAATTGCTACCAGAAAATAAATAAAATCAACAAAGTTTTTCATCCACATTTAAGCCTCCAAAGGTCAAAATAGCTAGTCAAGAGAACAGCACTATCATCAGGAGGGTTTGCTTTTAGCAACGGTGAACTATTAAGAGCTTTTTCTACAGCTTCTGCTGAGCAAAATTAAAAATTCTGAGCAGAGCATCAAGAACATCGAACAAAAGTGCACCAAGAAAAAAACAGGTTAAGAGTTTCTTGGAGGTGTCATAATCGTGATCAATTCTTCTTTAGCACCAATTCAAAGTTCAAAGTCGGCATATCTTCTCGTTCAGTTTTGGCTACAACTTTGATGCTACTATCTGGGCTGCTGTATACATAATTCAAGCAGACATTCATGAATGTTCATCAGGTGCAGCTCTTAAAGGGGAAGTTGGAAGAACAACACTAATTAACAAAGTTCTTGGTCAAACCACTTCGCACAACAGTGAGACTGTAATAAAATGTAATCCCCGGAGCTACATCGGAGTAGTTCCGTAGTTAGTTTCAGTTGATTTTTGGTGCAAAACAAGAAAAGGCAAACCAGAGGGAAAAAAAGGTCCATTTTAAAGCCAACTGGTTAGTTCCTTTAAAAAATGATATCAAATGAGGATTTGTAACAGATGCTCCTCTTCTCTGTATTAAGGGAAAACAGAAGGGATTTCCCTAAACATTGACAGTTATGCACTAATCTGGCAAAATGTTTTCATTTTTAAAGATGCTTGAAAACAGGCATACAATCAAATGCCAAATTTCATGTTCTGATTATGTTTAACTTGGTTGATGGAGCCCTTACACGGACCTAATATTTGTTTTATCCTGGGGTGGGGGCGTGGGGTGACACCACTTAGAAATATTCATAGAGTTTATACATAAAAGTAACATGTTTCTATACAAAATGGGTACACAAAGATCAAAGGTTAATTGCTATTAGTGATAGTCTTATAAAGATGTCTGTAGCCAGCGGAGTTGATCGTGTTCACCCTTGTGCAAAAGCTGGGCAAAACTGGTGAGGAACAGAAAATTAGCACTTCTCTTCCCCAGAACCCCGCCCGGAAAGCACAAGATGCTTCTTTTGATTTTCCTTCTCTCCCCTAACTGCCATTTTGCTTTAAAAAATGTTGTCTGCACTTCTTTGGAAATAGTTTGGTTTTCTTGCTTCGCACTTGGGTAGAAACAAACCATTTAACCGACGTTGCTCATCGTTTGTTTGGAAATTACCCCCGTCATTTCATTTTAGCTTGCTTCTTCGGCCGGTCCCCTTCGCTGACGTGCAGATTTCTGCCTGCCTCTCTGCGGAGTGAGGAGCGCATCCTGTTCAGCTTCGGGTTCTGCATTTGCATTATCCCCCTGCTGGGATCCCGTGTCTCCTATCAGCTCTCGTAGGAACTTAAACTTGGATAAGAAGAGCTGCCAGACCACGCACCAACCTAGAGAGTTGCCAGGAAAAACAAGGGAATGTAAGTGTTGCACCCCGCAGCCATTCAGAATATACAACACAATATGAACAAGGAGTTGATGCCAGCACATGCCACACTCGTATACAAATACCACTGCCCAAACAATGTCAAAAAGGTCAATCCTTAGTAAAGTTTCAAAAAAAAACATTAAGTTGGAAACACACAGAAAACTAAAAATCTACTGTGGACTAGAAACCTTGTCTATGCATTGATTACTTCCTCTCTATCCCTGGCCTACACTTTTTATATCAGCCAATTAATAAAACAAGTTTCCATTAGCTTTACAGGTAGTTCTAGACCACAGGTCGGCAACCTGCGGCTCCGGAGCCGCATGCGGCTCTTTGAGCCTTCCCCTGTGGCTCCCAGCCTCCTCTGCCTTTGCAGAGAGAGACAGAGACAGAGAGAGGCAATTGCGCTTCCCTGCTTCTCTCTCTCTCTCTCTCTCTCTCTGTGTGTGTGTATGTGTGTATGTATGTATGTATGTATGTATGTATGTATATGCACTCACATTGTTCTCCGAGGAGCTGAAAAGCTTTCTGGGCGGAGCTCCTCCCTTTGCTGCGTCTCAGCAGGAAGCAGGAAGGGCAGGAGAGAGCTAGCTAGCCCAGCTAGGCTGACTCAGGAATTCTGGGAGTTGAAGTCCATGAGTCATAAAAGAGACGAGGTTGCTTATCCCTGAGCTTGTTGGACAACAGTTTGAAGCTTGCCAGGTGAGCAGCAGATTGGAGGGGGGGGGAGAAAGAGAGAGAGAGAAAAGAGAGAGAGATAGAGGGAGGGAGAGAGAGAGAGAGAGAAAAGAGAGAGAGAAAGAGAGTGGGGAAAGAGGAGTGGCAGACCAAGGGCAGATAGAGAGGGAGGGAGGGAGAGAGACAGAGAAAGAGAGACCCTTTTGACATCTAAAATGAAGATAACACTGCATATATCCTTTTTTTACCTGTGTGTGTATGTAATTTTATTCTCTTAAAGCATTCTCTCGGTGATCATTGTTTTAATAGTATGGATATTCCCAAGAGTCATATTTTTACTTTTATTTTTAATGTGTGTGTGTGTGTGTGTGTGTGTGTGTGTATACACACACACATACACAAACACTCTCTCTCTCTCTCTCTCTCTCACACACACACACACACACACACACACACACACACCTATAATAAAGATAAAAAAGGATATATGCAGTGTTATCTTCATTTTAGATATCAAAAGGGTTTTGCGGCTCCCGGTGTTTTGTTTTTGGTGGGAAACGTGTTCAAGTGGCTCTTTGAGTGTTTTGGGTTGCCTACCCCTGTTCTAGACTTATAACAGGTCATTTAGTGACTGTTCGAAGTTACATCACTGAAAAAAGTGACTTTTGATTGTTTTTCATACAACCGTCACAGCATTCCCATGGTCACCTGATCAAAATTCAGATGCTTGACAACTGACTCATATTTATGACGGTTGCAGTGTCCCGGCATCATGCGATCCCCCATTTGTGACCTTCCGATAAGCAAAGTCAATGGGGAAAGGCAGATTCATTTAACAACCATGTTCCTAACTTAACAACTGTGGCAAGAAAGGTCATAAAATGGGGCAAAATTCACTTCACCGTCTCACTTGGCTACAGAAATGTTGGGCTCAATTGCGATCATAAGTTAATGACTACCCGTATTCAAATCTTTCTGATCTATTACATTAGTGGACAGGTGAACCCAATCAGGAAATACCAATATAAATCTCATCCTTTTTTTTAAATGTTTTATTGATTTTCTAATTTTACATTTAAGTATTTAAAAAGCAATGTGGCGGCTGAGTTAATCGAAAATTCAATGTCATACAAACATCTTTAGTGAAAGTTTCAAACTACCACATTAAATATTTCCTCTCTTTTCCCCTTAGTATTTACTGTTTCATATTTAAACTAATACAATTCTTATTATATCAATTAAATAAAAGTAACATTCTTACATTTATCAATAATTTTTAGCTTATATATATCCTGGTTATTTTAACATTCAGTCTTTATAGACAAGCAATGTCCTAATTACTTTTTCCCAATTTTTAGTTTCCCATTAATATTTAAATTTAACATTTAATATTTATAATTTCCAAGTTTCAAGTGACCAAAATTCCCTTTATCCCAATTCATCACGAAGTCTATAATATTCAGGATACACGTCTTATCTATTTGAATGTATTCTATTTCTCACCATCTTACATAATCTAATTAATAATATAGTGTAACATTCTTATTTTCTATTAATTTCCAAATGTCTTAAATTTAGCAACCAAAATTTCTCATTTCAACATCAAATACTTCCTCTCTTTTTCTCTTAGTGTCTACTATCTCATATTTAAGCTAGTACTGTTCTTATATCAGCTAAATAAAAACACGTTTATTACATTTATCAGTAGATTTTTAGCTTATATATATCTTGATTATTTTTACATTCAACCTTTATGGACCAATCAATATTCAAATTTAACTTTTTGATATTTATACTTCCAAATTTTAAATGACCAAAGTTTTCTTTATCTCAGTTCATAACAAAATCTAGTATTCAAAGTACACATCTGTCTATTTGAGTATATTCTATTTTAATCCTCACTGAGTCAAAACCCCAATTTTCTTCAGCCTTATTCTAGCTTCTTTCCTTGCCAACTTGCCTTCCATATCCGTGCTTTTAAGTCATCAAATAGTTTTCCCTCTGTTATTATATATGTTGTTTGAGATCAAAGAGGCCATCCAGTCTCCATTTTTTTGAAAGGACTAACCAATTGTGTCTCTATTTTCCCATCTGGATGTAGTTGTCCTGAAATGTTTATCTTCCCTTCGGTCTGTTCTTCTTGATCCTCAGGTTTCTTTTGATTTATATAAAAAGTCTTTTCTATTTTCAGTGTTGTCAGTACTTTTTCTGGGTTTTCCATTAACTGTGTTTGTTGATCAGTTAAATCTTCTATCATAGTATTTAATTGTTCTGTAGAGTTGGTTCTTTAGTTATAATCAAATTTTGGGTTCATATATCTAGGCTGACATCTTGTTCTTTTCTGTAGCTTCTTATTTCTTCAGTAATTGTAAGAATAGTTTCATAAATTGCTTTCAACATAAAAAGAATCTGTTCCTGATCTTCTTCTATGTTTTCTTAGTGTGTTAAATTAAAAGCTTTACAATCAGGGAATGAAAATAATTTTCTCACTAAGTATAAAACACAGCTGGGCTTCTCATAGCTGATATCTGTCCAGGTTGCAAAAGTTTTATCTATTGTCTGGGCTTCTAGCCAAGTCTCTTTTAAACAATGTTGTAATATCAGGTTTAGCCACAAGATGTTGCCCACATCATTTAAGATTTTTGTTTTTCTTTTTTTTAAGTCCAAAATTTTTATAATCCTTCTCAATTTTACTTCTTTTTTGTAAGTAAAAACCAAATCTTCAATAAAAATAAGAAATCTTTTAGTCCTCAAATTTTAGGAAAATAAAAATCCAGTTAGAATCAAGTTATTTTTTCAGCGTTTTAAACTCCCCTGGATAGTCAGTCGCCACTGTTTTTAGAGCAGGGCTTTTCAACCAGTGGTACATGTACCACCTGTGGTAATTTGCCATGTGATAATTTGCCACGTGACTGCTAGCCAAGTGTAGCATGGGAGGTGAATGAGCTGAAGTAAGCCAAGCCTGAGGGAGAGGCAGCTGCAGCAGCAGGACTGTCTGGGCTCGGCAGAAGCCCCAGGAGCTGGCAGGGCTCCAGCTGATTGGCACTTCTGGAAGCAGCATGGAGGTGAACTGAAGAAAAAAGGGGAAGGAGAGGAGAGGCTATAAAAGGAGGTGGTTTGGTCAGGACAGGGGAAAAAAAGATAACAAGGAAAGAGAAGGAGAGGTCAGCAGGCAGGGAGGAAACAGGGACAGAGAAGAAGCAGCAGCTGTTGCTGGAAGAAAAGGTCCCCTGGTTCATTTTCTCCAGCCAGGAGAATGCAAACAGCACTGATGAAATGAAAAGCCGGCATGTCGGAAAGGAGGTGGGTTTATTTAGTTCTGGATCAGCTGGCAGCTTGATTGGGTTATCATAAGGATTTTTGTACAGTTTTTACAGCATTTTGTAATTCAGAAGATCCTTTGTGTGCTTTGGTTATTGGAATATTTTAGTCTGTATTTTAGGCTAGCAATGAGTCCAAAGTGTTGACTTCCGTAAGTTTAATCCCTTTAAACAAATGTAATCAGTTTTACCCCCTTATCTTGAGTTTGTCTATAGCTTTTAGAAAGTTTTCTTTGAAGATAAACAGGATTAATTTTAAAGCTAAAGCTTTTCGCAATTGCCTGAGCTTTTCAGTCTGGGATTGCAACATTGTGACACATGACACATCTGAGGCAGCTTAAAGAAAGAAAAACCCCCCAGAGTTTATGTGTTTATTTTGTGAGCCTTTCTTGCTTTGCACTTGATTCCTGTGTCTTTAAGGGTACAGGGAAGGGATGGGGGGTGCATTCTTACTACACTGTGAAAGGAGAGCTAAGAAGAGCTGACCAGCTAGCTCAGGGGTCTACAAACTTAGCAACTTTAAGACCTGTGGACTTCAACTCCCAGAATTCCTCATCCAGCCATGATGGCTGAGGAATTCTGGGAATTGAAGTCCACAAGTCTTAAAAGTGCCAAGTTTGAAGACCCCTGAGCTAGCTGGTAGCGGTGCATGTTAATAAACTTGGATAAATTCAAGTTTTTGACACCTTGCTAAGCACTGGTGATACTCAAATACTGCCATGTCCTAAAAGTGATATAATCTGTGAAAAGGTTGAAAGTTTTAGAAAGTGGGATAGAAAAGTTTGAGAGAGTGGGATAGAATTTCCTTCCCCTCTCTCCACAGGGGGAAAATACTTTGGGCAGCTTATACAGGTGAACAAAATAATTAGGATTGAAGAGAGGTTCAGATCTCACCCAGTCTCATCTGTGCTGCTTTGTAGGTGCCTGGTGATAAGTTTGACGTCAGCTGTCTGCAGCCTAATGA